GTAAGTCTACCAGTGGTGTTTGTCAAGAAGACAAGTCTTTAAAGTATGGACAACAGGGAAGAGTAAGACTATGGTAACAGAAGAAGAACTTGACATATCCATTTCTAAGTGTGCACAACAAACACATGATATAGTCATCCATTATAACTATATAAGAAACTTGATGTAGAAAATGTGGGGAACTTTAAAGTATAGCTCGCTTGTCCTTGAGATTAACAATTCAAAAAGCTTTAAGAGAACTAGCTAAGGGTTAAACTCTAAGTTGCTCGGACTCTTTACTTTTGGTGTCGCACCTATGTCGACACAACAAGGGTGAGGGTGTGGGTGTGGGATTCATACCCGATCTGGTCAACCGTTTTGGGTACTTTGACCAAATTTGAGGTAAAAATTCTAGATAGATTCAATGATTTCTGTAATCAAAACAAAAACTAAGGTGACATTGAAGAAAATGGAAGACCTTGTATACATAAACTTCTGTTGTCACTCCCTTTCCTTTTATCTCCTTCCAGAAGTGGCCTCTTGATCAATAATTTCTCCTCAATCTTCCACATAGTATCTCATAATTTAGGTTTTATAACTCTATTTCAAGATATTTGAATTATATTTTTTATTTTTTTTGAAACTGGTAACTTTGTGTCTATTATAGAAACAGATCAGTACATGGGCTGTACTAGGGCCATATTTACAAGTAAATCCAGATCCTATGATCCCATGTCTATAATGAATCTAACACATCAATAATAGATACAGGATCATTAGACCGAATCTGATTACACCAAAAACATAGAATCAAGATACAATTCAATTTGATCTGCTCTATACTATTTTCTATGTTCTCAAAACACCTAGAATTTGAAGTTGAATTGCATGGCTCTTTTCTTTTTTTGGTGTAAACATGAATATCCTCAAGATGCAGAGGATATTACTAGTATTTTAGAGTTCTTATGACCTCCATAGGAGTTCTTTTCTTTTAGCAACTTTTGGATGTAAGTATTACTAGAATACTCCTCATGTATTCTTTGTTTATAATACAAGTTACCTTTCTCAAAAAAAAACACCTAGAATTTCTCTCCTTCCAGATTGTCCACCATATGCTGGCTGGTATGATTCTCCACCTACTTTTGCTTCTTGCCAGAACCCCAGCTTCTTCCCAACTTTGAAGGGCCTCTGTAACCTTTCCTGGCATAGTCCAGGAGAAACCTTTAAGGTTTATGAATAGCCTCCAAAGCTGACATGTGATCTTGCAGTGAAGGAACAAATGCCGAACAGTTTCTGCTTGTTCTCCGCAAAAAAGGCATCTCGGACATAAAATTATCCCCTTTTTCATCAGATTGTATTGTGTAAGGACAGCTTCCTTAGATAGGAGCCAAATAAAAAATGATACCTTGTAGGGTATATTCACTTTCCATATAGTTTTCCAGGGCCAGTTGACATTCTGTTGATTGTGACTATTCAACCATCTGTATGCTTTGCCTACCCTGAAGGTTCCTCTGTCACTGCCCTGCCACCAAAGCTCATCTTCCCCTTCTTGTGTTCCTTTAAACTGGCCAATAGTGTTAAGGAAATCTGCAACTCTTGTGATTTCCCAGTCATTTACTTGTCTTCTGAAACTGATTTCCCACCCATCAGGTGTCCACATTCCTGCAATTGTTCTTTGCTGATTTAACATTAAGTTGTGGATATCTGGGTAGATATTCCTCAGAATCCCCATCTCATGCCAGTCATCTCCCCAGAAGCTTGTCTTTTCCCCATTTCTAACCTTAACCTTGGTTTTGATCTTGAAATCATCCCACAAGGCCCTTATAGATCTCCACAGATTCACTCCTTATGGGGAAAATACTTCCTTTGTCATCCACCTACTTTCTTCTTCATACTTGGCTTTGATGACTTTTCTCCATAACGGATGTTTGTCGTTAGCATATTTCCGCAACCATTTCATTCTGAGGGCCTTGCTATGATTCTGCAGATTTTTAATACCCAAACCCCCATACCTTTTTTCTATTATACGATCATTCCACTTTACCAAATTGTAACCTTTCTTGTCCTTGTTTCCCTGCCATAGGAACTTCCTTCTGATTCTGTCCAATCTGTCTGTGACCCCTACTGGAATGGGAAATAGAGACATCATGTAAGTAGGCATAGCATCTAGGACTCAGTTAATTAGAGCAACTCTTCCTCCGAGAGACAAGTATTGCCCCTTCCATCTAGCCAGTTTCTTCTCACACTTTTCCATTACACTGCTCCAGATCTCTTTAGACATTGATTTAGCACCCAATGGCATCCCAAGGTATGTAGTTGGGAGAGCCCCAACTTGTCCACCTAGGATTATGTTTAGTGCCTCCATGTTATGTACTTCATTAATGGGATAAAGAAAACTCTTTCTCCAATTAATATGCAACCCAGAGATTCCTTCAAACAAGACCAATATTACTCTATATCTGAGTTGTTCGTCTTCTTCCCCACAAAAGATGAGTGTGTCCGAATCCTTGAACTCATATCCATACATGGATACGTATCACCAACAACAACAACAACAACATACCCAGTGAAATCCCACTAGGTGGGGTCTGGAGAGGGTAGAGTGTAGAGTGTACACAGACCTTGCCACTACCTCGTGGAGGTAGAGAGGCTGTTTCCGAAAGACCCTCAGCTCAAGTACATCAAATCCAAGTAAAAGGAGAGGAAAACAGTGTATAAAACATAACATCCAATAAGAAAGATAGTATATAATCAACAAAGGAGACAATAACATCAATAAAATAATGTGAGAAGTGAAACGCAGTAAACAACATAAGGCTATAGGTATCACAGACAAGAACTGCAAGTGCAAGGCTAGGACTACTACAAACGCTAACAACCCATACCCTCGCAAGGAAAGACAGCACGCTAACCCTACTAGCCTTCGACCTTAATACGCGACCTCCACTCCTTCCTATCTAGAGTCATGTCTTCGGTAATGTGAAGCTGAGCCAAGTCCTGTCTAATCACCTCTCCCCAATACTTCTTAGGCCTACCTCTACCCCTCCGCGTACCCTCTACAACCAGCCCCTCACACCTCCTCACTGGAGCGTCTGCGCACCGTCTCTTCACATGTCCAAACCATCTCAGTCTCGCTTCCCTCAGCTTGTCCACCACAGAGGCCACTCCCACCTTCTCCCGGATACCCTCATTCCTAATCTTATCGCTCCTAGTGTGCCCACACATCCATCTCAATATCCTCATCTCCGCAACATGCATTTTTTGAACATGTGAGTTCTTGACTGGCCAACACTCCGCTCCATACAACAAGGCCGGTCTAACTACCACTTTGTAGAACTTACCTTTAAGTCTAGGTGGAATTTTCTTATCACACAAGACTCTAGAGGCAAGCCTCCATTTCATCCAAGCAACCCCAATGCGATGTGTGACATCATCGTCGATGTCGCCACTTCCTTGGATTACAGACCCAAGATACTTAAAACTTTCTTTCTTAGGAATGATCTGTGTGGCAAGTCTCACTACCACATCTGCCTCATCCAACGCATCACTGAATTTGCACCCCAAATATTCTGTTTTGGTCCTACTCAACCTGAACCCTTTGGACTCCAGCGTTTGTCTCCACACCTCCAACCTCGCATTAACTCTGTCCCGCGTCTCATCAATCAGTACTATGTCATCTACAAATAACATACACCATGGGACCTTCTCCTGAATAGACCGCGTCAACTCATCCATCACCAAAGCAAATAGAAAAGGGCTAAGGACTGATCCTTGGTGCAGCCCCATCTCAACTGGGAAATGTTCCGAGTCACCTCCAACCGTTCTAACCCAAGTCTTGGCTCCACCGTACATGTCCTTTATCGCCCTAATATAAATCATCGGGACACCTTTAGCCTCCAAGCACCTCCAGAGGACATTCCTTGGTACTTTGTCATAGGCCTTTTCAAGGTCAACGAACACCATATGTAGGTCTCTCTTCCTTTCTCTATACTTTTCTACCAGTCTTCGCATAAGATGAATGGCTTCGGTAGTCGATCGTCCCGGCATGAATCCAAACTAATTCTCAGAAATGGACACCCCTCTTCTCACCCTCATCTCCACCACTCTCTCCCAAATCTTCATAGTATGGCTTGGCAATTTGATACCCCTGTAGTTGTTACAGTTCTGGATATCAGCCTTGTTTTTATACAACGGCACCATTGTACTCCACCTCCATTTATCAGGCATCTTTGTTGTCTTAAAAATAACATTAAACAGCCCAGTTAACCACTCTATACCTGCCTTGTCCGCGCTCTTCCAAAAATCCACCGGAATCTCATCGGGTCCGGTCGCTCTTCCCCTGCTCATCCTACTAATAGCACGTATAACCTCCTCGGTCCTAAAACACCTACAGTACCCAAAGTCCCGAAGTCTTTCAGAGTGCGCCAAATCACCCAACACAATGTCTCGCCCCCTTTTTCATTTAAAAGTTTGTGAAAGTATCTTTGCTTGATGGAGATCTCATCCACCAATACTTTGTCTTCCTCATCCTTGATACACTTCACGAGCCTTCCTCTCTCTTGCTTTTGCGAGCCTATACAATTTCTTATCCCCACCTTTGTCCCCCAGCTCGACATACAAGCGTAATCTTAAAATTTAGATCATAGAGGATACGCAACCGTATCGGACACCCGCACCCGAGTCCGAGCAATTTAGGTTAAATTAACTTAAAATGATAAATATCCGTTAAACAACAATTCCGGAAAAAACTATGCAAATTAGCAAGTGCATATCAATTAGCACCATAACACTCCCCCTTCACAGGAAATATATTGGAAAGCTAGAATTTATTAAGCACCCAATTCATGTTTAATAGAGAGACACATCCATTATGCAGAAAATGTTGATATCTGTCTCAGAAGAGAACTTCTTTCTGTAGTTCTCTTCATTGCACGAAAAGTTAGAAGAGGCTATATAATTGATAAGCTTATGCTAATTTAAACATGCTGAGGAGACAACTGATTAAAACAGTAGAAGCTTACCACCACTGCAACTCCAGTCTCTGCAAATCTAGGAATGCAAATAAGCATTACCATCTGCCCTTCTGATCCTGCAGATAGTAGTATGATCACACACATTCTCCAGAAACTTGAACAAATCAAAAATTTAAAACATACCTTTTATCAAGCGAGATTCATATTTATCCTGATTGCCAACAAAATAAACATGAGGACATGTTTCGACATAGAAAGGATCCCTATCAGTGAAGGGATAGCAACCTGGAAATGTAATGGATGAATATACCAACTCAGTTGGAAGAAATATATGCAATCAAATTGAATTGCAAACTCTTCAAAGAACAAAAATAGTCATTTTTTAGCTCTTCCTATTCCAAGAACATATATTTTGTGTCACCAACTCAATTTGCAATCTAAAAGCATGAATTTGTAAAATCAAAGAATAAACTGGGCAGAGTAGAAAACTTTAGGCAAGGAAACCACAATCATAAGAACTTCCAAGTGTAGCAAGGCAAAAGGTTTTGACCAAGGGTATTTGGTGCTGTTGGTGCTAGGTGTCTCCACCTCAATGTTCTCTCCATAAAGTCAATATTGTTGTTTGCCTCCGAATACTTGCCAAGATCATCAATATTTTGACCAGATGTACCTAGGAACCTGATGATCATGCAGTAACCATGCAAACAATGAATACATTTCTTTAACTAATAACTAATCAACTATTGAATCTTACCTGATGTTGTCAAGTTCAAAACAATGTGGATTCGTGCAAGATCTGAAAGTGTTATAAGCTGATGATCCAGGGAAAAGACATCTGTGGAGAGGCTGAAATTTAACAGATGATCACTGATAACCAATTAAACCTCTGAAAATCTAAAGAAAATGAATTAAGGAAAAGCTCTGACTGGAAGTATTAAAACTGTGCTAAGCAAGGAAGACCTGCTGTGGCAGGGAGAAATTTGCTGGATCACTGGACCCTGGCATGATATCCAAAGGTATACTTGCTGCAATCTGGAAAAGGAGAAAATCATTTTCTTAACCCATATTGTACAATTTGCACTAGTATGTTGGTTCCAATTTAGGATAAGAATACCTGAGTTAACAAAATATCAAGCTCTTTAATTGGCTCAAACAATCTGGACTGGTCCTTTGACCCCAAATTCTGCGACACAATCAACTTTTGTTAGTGTCTTGATGGAGACTAGGAAACTAGTCATTTGCAGTTCCGAGGAAAATCAATTATAAGAATTTGCAGCACATGGAAAAAGAATTTCCTTTTATCATTTTTTAGGGGAAGACCAGAGAAAAAATCTAATGAACCGAAGACATGAGTCCACGAAATGATCCTGTACTGATTAAATACTATTAAGTATCAACTCATTTTGCACGACCATCAAAGGTTTAAGAAATTCAAGATCCAAAAGCAGCTAAGTTAATAACAATAATAGAAGCAAGACCTAATTTTGTATTCTGAAAAAGTAACTATTATTGGACATTTTTAACTATGTCACTGTAATATTTGTTAACCCTAGCATTTTATGATGACAAATATATTTGAATAACAATGTGCAGTCATTAATGAAGTTGTTCTTTGGACGAAGGCACAAAAATATACAATGAAGATATGGTGCAAGAAATTCAAGATGTACAAAAATCTGAGCCTTGTTTGTCCAAGGGAGATGGACATGTGAAAGGCAAAGACTTCTAAAAGGGGGAAGATGACGCTGCCAAGATTCAAAAAAGAAAAAATCACTCCTGTAGAAGGAAGATTTGAGAAGCCGTGGCTCAAGGAAGAAATATCCTCTGAATATGGCAACCACGGATAGGACTTAATTATAGGAAATGAAAAAGGGGGAAATTTTCACTTCAAGGCTTCCTTTTTCTCAATGGAGGCTGTCTATGAGCACTCCAAAGGAGACCCTTTTTTCCAAATCAAGGTTGAACAAAGACTACATTCAGGCTTGAGTACAACGTCAAAAAGTCGCTCAAGATTGGAATGATGCTGGACTGCAATCAAGGACGAGGATCATACAGAATCTCCAAGAGTAATCAAGCAAGTCAAAGACTGATTTCCAAGTTACCAAGTTTCAAAAAAAGTAAGACTGATTTCCAGAACAAGAATCCGGTAGAATTAATGAGGACTAACAGTCAGAAAATTCAAGAGGTGATAACAGTGTAGTGAAGTAAGAAGTGAGAAAAAAAAGAGAGTGAGTTGTGTGGGTTCTTTTGGGTGATCAAGTGAAAACTAAAGGGTGTGTTCATTGTTGGTGATCGAGTGAAAACTACATGATGGTAATGTTAATGGTGATCAAGCGAAAACCAACTGAGCCATGTCACTAGAAAACTACCCAAGTTGTTTTGACATTACATGTAAGTAATCCTCCATGGTGGTGAGTCGAGCAAGTATATGCCTATCTCTTAAAAAGCTAATATTGCTTTCTGCCTTCATCTCGCATTGAAGAGGCACAATTTTACAAATTCCTCTAGTTCAGGCCACCCGTAGGAGAATTTTCCTATGACAGCAAAATGCAAATTGCTTGTATAATCATGTTGTCCACTTCTTTTTATTCCCATATAACTATTGGTTCACCATGTACATACGTTATATCCTTGATGGGAATAGGGTTTATAGGTTTAGAGATTTATGGGGTTAACAAGTTCAAGTATGAGGGTATTATGGGTGCTGGTGATGGTTCTCCACCGGAAGAGGCAGCCATGGCGCCTTCCAGTGTGACTCGTAGGCAAATATTAGGGTTCCGATGGGCAAATTTCTAGAGAGCCCCCAAAATTTTCCTTCTAATGATCGACTTTTAATTTAATGATAACTTTTATACTTGCTTAATTTGAATAAATAACCAGTATCTTTTGCAGTTCTTGAACCTCAGTATATAGTCAGCCTACTTAGACCAAATAGGGTAAATTTTTATTGCTTATTATCCCTCCCCCCCCCCCTTCAAGGAGTTGAGGGCGTTCAACAAGGCCTTGCTAGGTAAATGGATTCGGAGGTTAGACGTGGAAGAGCAAGAATTATTGAAAAGAGTTATCACAGGGAAAAATGGCACTCATCAAGAAGATTGGATATGAACGAGTTTACTATACCATGTAAGGTAGCTCTTTTAAAAAGCATTATGGAAGTGTTGGAGAAGTTCTATAGCAATATCCGATACAGAATCAAAGATTGCACCAACAAATACCATTATGTGATGGTTTTGAGTCTGTTAGAATTTCTTGCCGGCAAAGGAGATGAAGGAAAGTTCTATCGAATATAGAGTTTAGGTATCTGTTAGGAGAAACCTGTCAGACTGAGAGGTTAAAGAGGTTAACAATCTTCTCAGGCTGTTGTCAAGGGAGGAAAGGGAGTTCCCTTATCATCAGTAAGGATCCTCTGGAACCATTTTGGTCCGTTTATGACCAATTTATTAAAATTAAAGTATTTGTCTTTAAGTAAATTAGGGTTCTCTATAGTATAGTTTCTCTAAATGACTAAATCTCACTTAACCCTACATTGACATAGAGGTCTCTAACTAAACTGAAAAGACTAGAGAAAGCTGGATCTAATGCAAGTGCGACAACAACAACAAGTCTTAGCACCAACCAGTTACTAGTGTTATTTCTTGTTGCCTTCATTTTTTCCATTTTCTAATGAGCAAAAGCCATACAAATTAATGTAGCACTTATAATCAGAGAGCATTTGACGCATTAAAACGAGCAATTGCTCAAATATGCTTCTTGGTATTTATTCTACATCTGGAACAGCAAATTGCCTGCTTTTATCAACAAGTTTAAAGACAGGGAGTAATGTTAGTAATTCTGGCATGTGAATGCAAAAATTCCTCCTCTATAATGAGAGGTAGCATTTCTCTGAGGTATACAGGGAAAAGAAAATGGAAAAATAAGAGATGGAAAGTCAGAAGTTTGCTACAAGCACAAAAGTAAACATACCTGTCCATTGAGAAGTCCATGAGGAACTTCAACAGAGTTTCCAGCAATAACAACTTGAACTATTTGAGCTGCAATAGTTTGTTCCTTTTCGAGTGGTACGTTTACAGGATAGCATAATATTAGTTAGATTATCATGTATCCAATACTTATTAGTAGAAAGTAAAGCATAGAATACTATTGAACCTTCTCATCTCCTAAATGTCCAGTAATGTGATCAACTAAAAGTTGAAATTGGAGAGGATTAGAAGAGCTTCTCCCAACACTCAAACCAGAGATGAAAACCACATATTTATCTTCACCTATCAAATCCAACAGAAGATGTCTGGTTATGTTCCAGGAAAAAAAAAAAGGAAATGAAAAAAATTGTTTTTCCCCAAGTTGAAGGCTGCATCAAAGAATTTGACACTTTTCTTGAGTCTACCAACCTTTTAGTTATGAAAAAAAAATCATATACAATTGATTATGCAATTACTGAGCTTCAAAATTAACCTGGACAGGCTGATGAAAATCAGAAATGAACCCATAAATAGATGAGACATTAACAAAAAGAAATTCAAGACACTCTGTTTATTGATGCTGTCTTAGAAACAGATATATTCATTATAGTTGAGCCAGCAACGCATGCTGTAGTTACCATTACAGAGAGAGGTGACTGAGTAGTAAGGGCGCCTTGAAGGAAGTCGACATAAAACAAGATATTAGAGACTTTCACAATAAAATAAACTTAACTTGAAAAAATTGGACAGAAATTTATTTTTTTGAGAAAAAGGTAAACCATATATTCACACAAAAAACTCATAGTGTCCACTAGATGCAAGCTGGAACACTCTTCCTCTGGTCTTCCTCGGCCCCTCTTCTTCCAATTCATTTCCAGTTGTTTAGCACTTCAAAAGTAGCCTTGGGCATTACCCAAGTCACCCTAGTATACACAAGAACATGTTCCACAGATTTACATCTGTTTTGCAGTGCAAGAATTGATGGTCATTGACATTTGTCTCTTGTCCACACATAAAACACCTTGAGCAAATCTGTAAACCTTTTCTTTGCAACACTTCACTGGTGAAACGGGCTCTTCTGATCACCGGCCATGTGAAACAAGAGACTTTGAGAGGAATTTTTACCTTCCAAGACCAAACTACTGTCAGTGATTGATTGTTATTCATTCCCCAGTAGCACGATTTCACTTTTCACAGTGAATACATACCCTCTTGTTGTGCAAATTCCAAATTGGCTTGTCAAGGCCAATGGAGATTCCTGAGAAAGCATTCAGTACCTACAGCAAACTTGCTACTCTACCAACCTTCCAATCACTTAAGGCCCTTCTAAAAATTAGGTCCCAACCTTGAGGACTCCACACTTGAGAAACAGTGACATTCTATTGTAGGCTTAAGATGTATATATCTGGGAAGAGATTCAACAACTTATCTTCACTTATGCATTGCTCATTCCAGAAGCTTGTCAACCATCTCCAACCTTGAAGGTCAAGTTGGTATTGAAGAGAGGCCACAATCTTCTGATGGTTTTCCACACAGAACAAGCCAAACGTTCGAGCAACTCCCTTGGTGATCCAGTGGTTTGGAAGCCCATACTTTGGTGAGATGAAGCTGCTCCATAGGGTCATATCTTCATTGCAAAATCTCTGTAACCATTTCTGTAATAGACTAGTATTTTGTAGACCGAGTCTCTTTATACCTAAATCTCCTTGGCTTTTGCGAAGAGTTACGAGATCGGCATTTTACCAGATTGTACCTTTGCTTCACCTTGTTCCCTTACCATAGTAAAGTTCTCCTCAGCTGATTAAACTTCTTTTAAATGCTCCTTGGCATAGGGAACAAACTCATCATATATGTGGGAAGGGCATCCATTACTCAGTTTCAAGTGTCAGTCTCCCCCCCCCCCCCGGATAAATACGGACTCTTCCACCTTGCCAGCTTTTTTTACATCTTTCCGGCACTTTAGTAGCTCTTGTTCATTGCACCCAGTGGCATGCCAAGGTATTTAGTAGGCAGTGAGGCTACTTTGCATCCTAGGTTATCAGCTAAGCTTACATAGTGTGTTGGCCAGGATCTACTCTACTTCCACGATTCAAATTCATATTGTTCACATAGAATAAAGCATGCTTTTATCAAAACAATCCTAGGAAAAAGGGTAGGCTAAACTAAAGAAATTTTAGCTCGATTTTTTGGGCAGAAACTTATATGATGACCCCAGACGTGCCAATCAGAGACCTAAAATGAAAAAAAAAAATATTGCCTATATGGATGCAGTATTCAATGAACACAAGCACATATCACTGGATAATGTCATAGACAACTAAACAAAGAGAAGTTAGGTACTTGATACCTAGTTGAATTGGCCGCTCTATTTGTTGTGGTAGGCCAGCCTCTAGAACATCTTCAACCAAAAATTCACCAGCACTAGTTTCTTTTCCATGCAATGCAATAATATTTCCTACGACGAAAGATTCACATATCTAAAAGCAATTCATTTCATAAGTCAAATAACTTTCTCCTATAGAAAAGCAGCGTCAACCAGTGACAACATCTCCAACCAAAAATGGCATTAGATAATCAGCTATAAAGCCCTCATTTATAGAACCAAAATCAGTTGCACAACAGTCCAGCCACATGACAGGATTGAGCTAAAGCTACTCACCTGTTACATATGTAGACGGCAGCAAACAACCACTTAGTTTGACTCTTCCGCTCTCATCTTCCAGAACTAAATTATCATCTAGGTGCATAAAGTTATGACGTTGTACAAGCGGTGAAACAGATCTCTGTATAACCAAGTTTGATTAGTAATCGCTTAAAGAAGGGATATGTTAACACACAAGAACAGGACATATCTCCACAAGACTGGTTCTAAAATAAAACTTTAGCTATGAAAATCAACGTCTTATACCTCCTTAGAGTACTCATCCAGAATAGAAGGTTTAAGCTTCATGTGCTTGTAGAGTGTCCCAACTATAATGCAATCTTTGCCTTCCTCTAATCCCAGAACAGTACAGACTGCAAGGATACGGAAATAAAACACAAGGAAAAATGTAATATTTTGAGTAAACGTTCTAAGCACCAATAAGTAAGCTCTAAATGATTCCAACAATAGCAACTAAAAACCTAAATAGTTCAGTTGAGTAGTAAGCAACTTGCACTCTTTCATTCTTTAATAATGGACACAAGTTAGTGAAATGTCCATAAATACAAACGTCAGAACTCTTAATATAGTAGTTTTTTTAAAAAAACTAACCAATATAAGTAGCAGAAGAAAGATGACCAGAAATATTCACCAAAATATGGAGATTAATCAAACACAAGTGATAAAGATGGGAAGTACAATCATGAATTGGGAAGTTTATCAGGTTATTGAAGCCCTAAAAGAAAAGAAAAAAGTAATTACCAGGTAAATGGGGTTTCCAATTGGGAATGAGAGAGTAAAGGAGAGTTCGCATCAAATGGAGCCTAGCAAAATATATTTGGCTGTATTGTTGACCCCTGTAAACCTCCTTCTGAATCCCAAAATTCTCATCCTGTTTTGATGAAAAGATAAAATTGAAAGTAAAAAAGAGGAAGTAGACTAGACTAGAGTAGAGAAGAATGAAGGAAGATGAATAAATACCAAAGATTGGTAAAGTGATTGTTTTCGGTGGAGAAGGTTCTTCTCCATTGATACCATGGCAGCAAAAATACTCTTCCCACTGCTTGCGCTATTAAAGTTTCCTATTTCACTTCCCTCTGTACTAAACACAATAACCCAACGTTATAAATTTGAACGCACTATCATTCTATCTATGTATATTTCACAAAAAATGACATAAATATTTCTTTAACTATATCAATAGATCTAAAATGGTCTCTTAACTATACATTTAATGTATTTAGTTCTTTAACTATTCAAAAACTTATTAACTTTAGTCTCTTAACTATATATTTACCGTTTTAGTCTCTTAACTATAAACTTATCGATTTTAGTTTTTTAAGTATTCAAAAACTTATCCGATTTGGTCTTTGTCCATTTTTTTAATACAAATAGTTTAGGTTTATATTAACCGAAATCTTCATGAAATTAAATCTTTAACTCATTTTATAAGTTGTTTCTCTATCCCCGTCCTTCTTTCTTCAAACTAATCTTATGAAAGAACAATAACGTCAACGATTCAAAATAAAATTAACGAGGAAAGAAGATATAAGTCCTAATTTTATTCAATGGGGAACAAAATTAAGCATATAATTGTTGTTAATGACTTGAATCAGCACTTGAATATGCTAATCAATGCGGATTTTATTTAATTTACTCAAATTTCTTTACGTGAAATAAAATGAATAGAATAACTGCAAATCTACCATTTTATAAATTTCAATTTCTGAAAAATTAAACAAATTTCGTTCAATAAAGTCGTTGGAGTACAAACTTTGGATTTAACGGGTAATAATTTTTTTCTTTTTCTAATAAAGTTTTAGCATATTCAAGTCATTAGTAGCAATAATATGCTTCATTTTATCCTATGTTGAAAAAAATTATAACTTATATTTTCTTTCCTCGTGAATTTTATTTTAAATCGTTGAGGTTAAGGTTCTTCGCATAAGGTTAATTTGAAGAAAAAGTAGCGGGGAGAGAGCAATAACAGAAAAAATTGCTAAAGAATTTAATTTCTCAAGGCATGAATTCTGTTAATATAAACCTAAGCTATTTGTATTAGAAAAATGGACAAAGATTATCAGGTTTTGAATACTTAAAGGACTAAAATTGATAAGTTTATAGTTAAGGGACTAAAATCGGTAAGTGTATAGTTAAGGGACAAAAACTGATAAGTTTTGAAATAGTTAAAAGACTAAATCCACTAAGTGTATAGATAGTTAAGGGACCATTTTAGACCTACTATTATAGTTAAGGGACTATTTATGTCATTTTATTATCATATATATTCTATCTATCTATATCTATGTTCTATATCATTTTAAAAACATAAATTCACAAACTTAAATATTAAATTACTACAATACCCTCAATCAAATCTATGTTACTTTAAAAAAAGCATAAACTCTCAAACTTAAATATTAAATTACTATAATAACCTCAATTAAAATCTATATGACCTTAATAAACATAAAATCTCAAACTTAAATGTTAAATTAGTATAATACCCTCAATTAAAAACATTCAAAACTTAAACATTATAAAACTAGTTAAAAGTTATTTTGACTTAAAAGCAGCAGCTAATCCAAACAAGCTCTTAGGCATATTGTCAAACACTCTTCATATAGTAGAAGGCAACCTGACATAATATTGTACTGACATGAATGTGAAGATGCAGTAAGAAAATGTCATGTTACATAGTAACGAAGACATATGAAACTCAAACTAAGAAACCAAGAAGGAGAAGAGAAAAATTCAAAATGAAGTCAAGAAAAAAAAGCAGACGACAATAGAAGCAACCAAAACCAAAACACATGATTAAAGAAAAATTTAGTAGAAGCTGAAAACTTGATTAAAATTTGTGAAGATTCACGTACACCAAAACATAGAAATCTGAAAGGAGAAGAAAAACTTACACCAACTCAGATATACAACAACATCAAAGATAAACTCAAATCAAAGCATAAAAATCTAAAATGATATCGATAAATTTTTTTTGAAAGAATTGAAAAAAAAGAGAATATACTTGGAAGTATGAAGACTTTAGCCACCCTCGAACTATTATCTCTAAATCAACTCAGATTTTACTGATCTAAGCAAGAAATCATTGGAGTTTTTCAGAGAAACAAAAATAACCATCGCCAGAAGCATAAAGACAACTCTAACGACACGAGAGAAATTGTGATGAACATTGCACTGGCAATTAAATTAGATATTTTATCTTGAAGTAGTGATACTTCAAATTCCACCATACTAGAGATTACACAAAAAAATGTTTTTGGTGAGATGTTGGGGAAGAGCCATAGAGAGAGTAATAGCTTAACTGAAAATAAGATTTCTTAAAGCTTTCAGGTTTCCTTTCGCTTGCCAAAATACGATCAATAGCAAAGACAATTCATTCACCAATGTTGTCCGTTAATACCTTCACAACATATTCAAGCAACCATCTGGAGAAACAATTCATTCACTAGACTTGCACCACAGGGAAAATTTATGATAAAAGTTGTTGGAAAGGTTTATTAAAAGGTACATACTAGTTAGTCAATTAGGTTGGAGTTCTTCAAGTCTTAAATATTGGGTAGAAGTGACAAATAAATAAAGTATATTAATTAGGTTAAAAGATGTTTTTTCAATAGTCCCAAACTTTTAACTTTTACACATTTGTCTCTATATTTTTTTACCTTAAAATATCTAAAATTTTACCAAAATAGACAAAAAAAAAACCCGCTCTTTCTCAACTTCATCTTCTTCTCATCGATCTTCTTCAACCGCATATTTGCCAATCCCTTTCTTCTTCTTCTTTTTGTTGTTCTTCATCTTCCTTTATCAAAAAAATATGTGCTTTTATTGAGAAGATCTATCAAGAAAAAAGAAGATCAATATATATATATATATATATATATAATAAGTCACAATGCAACTATCATTGTAACTATCTTGTTAGCTTTCAACCAAAAGCTAACAAGATTTTTAGTTACATATTTATTATTTAGTTAAATAATAAATATGTCATTGTATGAGCTATTTATTACTCATTCCTTTTGAATTTGTTAATCTGATTTTGATCTGACACATAGTTTACGAAAGTAAATTAGATTTTGAGAAAAAACATTAAGTGATACTTGAAGTTGTCCTAGATTTTCAAAAAGACACTTTAACTTTGCGTGCGTCCTATTACCCCACAAAACATTCAAAATCACAATAAATACATATTTTTTACACAATATTTCCACTTTGGACAAAAATATCCTTCGAATGTGCAATTTCTTAAAAACAAAAAGTCGGACCCATTATTGATGTATTGAAGGATGCTTTGGTAATTTCCTATGATGAATTCGTTTTGTTTGTTTCTTTTAAATTTATTTTACTATACTAAATAATTGTATAAAATATTATGAATCATGATAATTAATTACTTAAATATTTAAAAGATCTAAAAAAATATATAAAAGATCTGATTGACTCTTCAAATTTTACCGGTGACACATAAATTGGGACAAATGAAATAATATATATTATTTGAAAATTTCTTAGAAAGTACTATAAATTACAGTAATTAACAGCTAGAAATATTTCAAAGACAAAAAAATTGATTGAATCTCAAAATATTTTTAGTACTACATAAATTGAGAAATAAGAAATGACCTCTATTATTTGAAAATGACGTAAAAGTATTACAAATCATACAATAAGAATTAACAATTTAAAATTTTAAAAGACTTTAATGCTTTACTTATTCTATTTCCACTTTGGACAAAAATATCCTCCCAATATGCATATTTTTTAAAACAAAAAGTGGGGCCCATTATTGATGTATTCAAGGATGCTTTGGTAATTTTCCTATGATGAATTCGTTTTGTCTGTTGTTTAATTTTTTTTAAATAATTGTATAAAATATTATAAATCACAATAATTATTTACTTAAATATTCAAAAGATATAAAAATATGTAAAAGATCTGATTAACTCTTCAAATTTTATCGGTGACACATAAATTGGACAAATGAAATAATATATATTATTTGAAAATTACCTAGAAAGTACAATAATTTACAGTAATTAACAATAGAATATTTTAAAGACAAAAAAAATTGATTGAATCTCGAAATTTTATTAGTACCACATAAATTGAGAAAGAAGAAATAACCTTTATTATTTTCAAAATTGCGTAAAAGATATTACAAATCATACAACAATAATTAGCAATTTAGAATGTTAAAAGACATAAAAAATTTTTTACCATAGTTAACAATAATTAAAAATTTAAACTATTTTAAATTAATATTAAAGTTTGATTAACTCTTTAATTTTGTCTTTGTCACATAAATTGAAACAAAAAATGATACATATTGGGCCTGTACTAGCACGGGCTCCGATGTCTAGTATATATATATATATATATGAGTTTTTTTGTATTGCATTTATTTTGTTTGAGCTTTGAATTAACTCAAAAGAGCATTATTAATAAGTATAAAAATCACTTTGTGTCCATTCTTAAGTTGGGTTTAGTGAACCCAAACTGATTATTTTAGTCAACAATTTTCGTAGTTGTTCGGGAAATTACTGAAGTTGTTTATTGAAATAATTAAATACGTCTGTCAGTTGATGTCCAACAACTGTCTGTAGTTGTCCGGCAATAATAGAAGTTGTCCCAACAACTATTGCAGTTGTTCGACAATTGTGTTCTGTTGTTGGTCAATTGATTACTTGTTAAGAAAAATAATATAATTATGGACAAATTATTAATTATTTAAATAAATAATTGAAGAATTATAAAAAAATAATCCTAAATCTACTAAAAGTTTCTGACTATTGTTGATAGTTGTGAAACAACGAAATAGGTATAAAAACAAGTAATCAATATTCTTTAGCGATTTGAAAGTTGTTTGATGAGTGTCTCACTAGTTGAAATATTTTGTGATGTTTTCACGTATTGTGTCCATTTTTGAAAGATCAAATAATACTAGCAGATGATTTACATGGTGAATGGGCAGAGAATCCTACTCGTTATACTTGACGATCAAGGGGTCGAGAAACAGTTACAATAAAGATAAGTGAGAATGTTACATATAATGAGTTGGTTGCGATCATTATTTTTAGGTTT